TAATGATCATATAATCAAATAAATATGATCTTTTTGTAATGTTATTATAGTTTGGAAAATCACTGCCTGAAAATGTTCATTAAATTTAAAAAAAAAAATATCAGATCTTGTTTAATTTTACCTTATTTGTTTCAAAGCGTCACGTACTATCAATCTTATTTAATTTTAGTTTATTATTACGCAAAATTAAGTTCATAAATTTTGTGCTTAGAGTTTTTACCGTTCTACCAAAGTAAAGAGGTTTGTACAAGAATTACGCGTTAAAAAAATGCGCGAAATGCAGTAAAAAGTGCTAGTAAAAGTAAAGTGCCACTGGGTTAGTCTATATCTTATAAGGTCTATGGCTACCGCACGTCAGCGCAATGCCGGACTATGTCATTAGCGATTTTCTAGCTGGAATGTGTCTGAGCATAAATGTGTCTGAATGTGTTATAGTAGTAAATAGCAATTATGACAATCAAAGTATGTATTTTAGGCAATTATATGTGAGTTGATGCAGGTCTTAGCATAATCAAGGTAGAATGAGAAAAAGCTGTTTCAACCGTTTCCACTGCTGCACTGCGTTGCCAACTATATGGGCGGAGCGTCACTTGGGACGCGTTCTGAGTCGCTAAAAGAGAGCATGAAAGTAAAAAACTACCTGGCGAGTCGGAAAGAAATTTAAGAGAGTGATAATTATTGAGCTGTGAAATGTCTAAGCCTAAAGTTAAACTTTAAGGGGTTTTTTTAATATTCTGTATGTATTTTAAGCTTGATTTTAATTAATAAAGGAGAGAAACTGCCCTCGGTCTCTTTCTGTTCCTGTCACTTCTGTAATCGTAGTTAACTTACGATTATAGAAGTAATTGTAATGTTCGGAATAGTAGAGTTTTAAACTTTAGGAATTTTCCTAAAGAAATTTTTGGTCATTTTAGTCATATAGGCAATAATGAGCATTATATTGAATTCTCTACGAATGGCTTCATTACGAATAAAATCGGCAATTAATGGCTTGTCTTAGGAATCGAGTTTTGGGCGATTTGCAGTCTTTTGATAGATGAGTTGCTAGCGTACCCCTTAGGTCAGACATAGGCAATAATAGGTCGTAGTATAGCTTTATTAGATGAGTATCTTATTTTCTACTGAGAGAACGCTGTTCCAGGCAATTAGGAGGGAAGCTAAGCTCAGACGTCATCAGCGCGCGTCACCGACATGTCGGCAAGAAAGAGTAGGGACGATCTGGTTTACTTTAACACTGAAACCTGTGACGTTTGTATCACGTAACTCTTTTTTAATTATTAAATGAGATAGGTTGTATAGTGATGAGATTATGAAAGCCACAGTTTTTTCCAAATAGGATTTAATATATCTCATTAAAGCACTTTTTACTGCATTTCGCGCATTTTTTTCACGCGTAATTCTTGTACAAACATCTTTACTTTGGTAAAACGGTCAAAACTCTTAAGCACAAAATTTATGAATTTAATTTCGCGTAAAAATAAAGTAAAATTAAATAGGATTGATGCTTTGAAATAAATAAGGTAAAATTAAACCAGATCTGATAATTTTTTTTTTTTTTAATTTAATGAACATTTTCAGCCAGTGATTTTCCAAACTATAATAACATTACAAAACGATCATATTTATTTGATTATATGATCATTAAATTATTAAAAATAAAGTGGATTTGTTATTTTAATAATTCATAAATTTCGGAGCATAAAATTTTCTGAGCGTAAGGAAGTAAAAAAAAGATATAATAAAATCTAGAAGCACTCCAGAAGTTTTGTGTGCTACCTATATTTATTGAATATCATGTTCTTCGTTCGTAAACCACATACATTTGAAAACAGCTTATCTTTAGAATATCCGCACTGAAGATAAAACTGTTATTTTCCGTACATTGCTCGCTCTGAACTCGTTGAGTTTGTTAATCAAAAATTCGTTAAAGTTTTACAAAATATGAAATAGATTAAAACAAATTCGAAATTCGGCCGTCCAGATGCCCATGTTCGGGTGGAGGATTACATTATTCAAAATTTGATGGCTCTAGAGACTGTCGTTTTTGTCACAGTGCAACAAACATACATGTATTCGTGCAGATTCTTCATTATTTAATTTCTTTACATACAGGGCGATAATATTTGGTAACAACAATTTGCAAGGAGCCACGGACACTTATAGTAAAATAGCGCAAAACGCCGCTTCGAAACTAACAGTCTTTCTAGGCTACCGCCGCTTTGGACTAATAAATTAAATTAACAGTAAATAAAAAAAATCTTATGCAGAACTAAAAATAAATTTTAAAAAAATAATCACTATAAAATACAAGCAAAATTAATTATTAAGGTTAAATACAATTTTAATATTAGAATTAAATGTATAAAAAATTTTTAGGATTCAAAAGTGTTTATCATTATGTATTATGAAATATAATTGAAATAAAATTCCTTTATAGAAATTGTGCTATAATACTCATCTATAATTTTTAAAAAGCAGCACAATTTAGAATTTTAAAGAAAACTTTCAAAAATTCGTTTTTAAATATTTTAGTACTTTTTACTTATTTACACCAAAAAAAAGCATAGAAATTGCAAGAGAAAATTGCTTGTTTGAAATTTTCTATTAGTTCAGATTTAAAATATTATTTTCTAAAAGAAGTAGTTACAAATTTCCTTACAGCATAGGAAAAGCTAAAAAAATATTCAGCCCTGAAAGCATGCAATAGCTTTATAATTATTTGGAACGTTAATTATGCTAAGTTTTTAAAAAATCAATCTCAATTTCAAAAATACAAATGAACGTTAATTATGCTAAGTTTTTAAAAAATCAATCTCAATTTCAAAAATACAAATATGTATAAATTCTAATTTGTGAAATGAGGCACTACATTTAGCTTTTTCTTGACAATTATACACCCTGCAATAGGCAACCAATGTTAAATTTCTGCAAGTCGTCCCTACTCCTCCGGATGTGATCAAGGTGACAGTCGACAACGCCTCAGACGAGGGAGAAAACCCGTTTGTATTAGTCTATTTCTTATAACGTCCATGAAGTCAAATCTTTCAACTGAATAACCTGTTCAGTTTTGATGTACGTGTTGAGGAATACAAGCCAAGGAAAAGGCCTTCGGAATGCTTTCGTTACCAGGCCTACGGCCACACTCAGCATTTGTGTAACAAGGCAGAGCGGTGTGTTAAAAATATGGTGGATTCCACCATATTTAGTAATATGTGCGGCAAAAAGCGAGAAGAAAAACCTCGTTGTAATTTTTTGCAGTGGGGATCACCCGAGCAGCTATCGTGGGTGTGAGACCTATAAGACAAGATTCGAGAAGAAAAATAAACCGAGATCTCAGCGGAAACCTGCTCCCAAAGTATCGACGATGAACTTTCCAGAACTACCTAGACAGACAGTCGCCCAGCCCAGACGCCTTACAGTGATGTGGTTAAAAACAAATCAGCGCCAGTCACTAACATCATAGAAGGACTTTTATCATGGTTCAGTAACCCGAATATACAAGAACTTAGCAGGATTATCCTGGAGATCTTTAGCTTTTTACAGAACGCTAATATTGCAAAGCAGTTACGATCCGTACAGTAAGACCCCGCTTAACGCGGGGGATACTTTCCATCGAAGTAGAGCGTAATGTGAAACAGCGCTAAGCGAGGCTATCTTAACATGTAAATAATGGGGTTAGGGGATAACGGATAAAAAATGGTTAGGCATTAAATTTAATAATGTTTTTTAATAAAATAAAATCAAACATTATTTCTTACAAAAATAAAAACAGTATAAACGCATATACTTTTAAAAACAAATAAAATTCTCAGTCAGATCATTCAGTCTATTCTGGGTTTCCATTTTCTGCCTTTTGTCAAGAAGGCATTATGATAGATTGGCTTAATGGCATATTGCGTTCAATTTCGTCGTCAATCCATATAGACAGTCGTTTTCCCATTTCCTCTATAATGTTATTTCTAGAACGGGTAATTCTAGTTGCAGAGCTTGACGTAGTTGCAGTTGCCTATGACAGTATTTTTTCTTTATTCTTAAGAATTGTCCTTATTGTTGAAGTTGCCAAAATCAATGCAGCGCTAATTTGAGATTGACCTTCACCAGAATCTAATCTTCTAATCACTTGCATTTGAGTTTCCAGTGAAATGCTTTTTTCTGGTGCTTTCTTTCTTGTTTTTATTATCACCCATGATAAAAACTAAAGATCATAATATTGTCACTGTATTAATCGTTATAGTATTATACAAATTTAAACTTACAATAATGTCAACAAATGTTTCAAATGATAAAAATGCGTCCACAAAGCAAGAAACACACTACACTGTTTCGGATATGTTATTTGGAAAACCTAGCGCTGCGCACAATTTCGGAGAATCCCCGGGTTGAAATAAAAGAGCGCTAAACCGAAACAGCGCTAAACGAAACAGCGTTAAGCGGGGTCTTACTGTACTTCAAACTGTGCAGAAGCTCATGGGATATTCCACTAGTGAGTAAATTATGCTTTATAAACTCTAAATTTCAGTACTCTTTGCCTCCTGTTCACCATTTTGACCAATTATCAGGATATTTGTCTATTTTAGATTTCTTTTAATCATTATTTTTGTTTACCTAAATTTTACTTAACCTTTTCAACTTAATTTTTTAATTTCTTTAAGTTCGAGATTTTATCTAGTTATTTTTTTAGCATTATTCGCAATAGCATAATTGTTCCACACGGGGTAGGGATCAGCCCGGGTGTCTTAAGCACCATTCTACTGGACTGCTGTTATATTCAGGCATTCATAATAAGCTGGGTTCGCTATAGTGGAATTTGGCTGAGTAATCAAAATTCTATAAGGTTACGTGCAAAATTCAAAAATACACGCAATGGTTTTGGAAGCCCAATACAAATTGTAAAAAATATTTATTCAAAAAGAAGTAGATAATCTTTTATAAGACCTTTTATAGGAATAATTTATTTTATAGGAACAACTGCAATATCTAACATCAAATGTTTATTTCAGGAATTGTGGCTATACTTTCAAACAGCGGGCTCTGTAGAAATTGGAGATCTGATACCTTATACAGAATACGAATTCAAGATTCGTTCCAGATCCAATGTATCTGAAAGTGATTTGATGTGGAGTCCTTATCTGACTATTTCTGCGAAAACGCTTCCTGATAGTAATGCTGCTTAGTTACGTTTAATTTAGATGACTCTTTCCGTTTCTGGATTTTAGTTTTAATCTTTTCAAAAGAATATATGTACGAAGTTATAGTATGAAATAATGTTTAATAAAACAATTCTCCAATTTTGTTGTTTGTTTGCTTGAACCTTCACCCAAGAATGTCGGAATATTTTAGACGATTATTTACAAAAATGTTCTTAATTCGGTATTGGTAGCATTCTTCATATCTTAATACTTTTAAGAGGAGGTAGTCACTAAATGCACTCCAATCAGATGTAGTACTGTGTTTATATTACGTCGAGAATTGCTATGTGATGTTTAATGTGCGCAATGCCGAGGCAGTGCGCGATGCGAATTTGTGGAATTCTGTTGCTTTTTAAGCTAAAACAGATTGCTGTGTACATGGAGAGAACTGTTGTCGCTCACAAATTCGGCACTGCACACAGCTGTGGCATTGCGCATTTTAAACATTTTAGATATTTTACGATACATTACTGTTATTATAAAGTCATGTTGATCAATAAACCATTACATATCGTTAGATTTATCACCACCTTGTTAAATGTCGTTCCAACATTTATGCTTAACGCAAAACGATACCTCGTTAATAGAAACCAACCCAAATCTTAATCTTAAAAAATTCTTAATGTATTAACCCTTTCCGGCACGCTACCTTTTAAAGTTGGAGTTTTGATTAAAAAAAAAAAAAGAAAAGAAAAAAAAAAAAGGTAGACAGTCTAAGTAGGCCTAGAGGAGTACACAAGTAAACTTTTGTGAAGATAGCACTTATCTTTTAATTCTGTGGGTGTCGCAAAGTGAATAGAGCTTCGAAAAGAGTGCTGAAACGAGCATTGTTGTCAATGAACCGACCGATGAGATGCGGAAAAACAAAGAATACAGACTCTCAGTTGTCCTAGATTATCGGTGAGCCCGGTCTGTGTTCGCCATTTGATTTTAGACAAGATTTCAAGGTAAAATTTTAAAACTAATATAGAATAAGGAGATTAGAAAGTTGGAGTTTGATAAAAAAAAAAAAAAAAAAAAAAAAAGGTAGGCAGTCTAAGTAGGCTTAGAGGAGTACACAAGTAAACTTTTGTGAAGATAGCACTTATCTTTTAATTCTGTGGGTGTCGCAACGTGGGCACACTGATTGAATAGAGCTTCGAAAAGAGTGCTGAAACGAGCATTGTTGTCAATGAACCGACCGATCAGATGCGGAGAAACAAAGAATACAGACTCTCAGTTGTCCTAGATTATCGGTGAGCCCGGTCTGGGTTCTCCAGCTGATTTTAGACAAGATTTCAAGGTAAAATTTTAAAACTAATATAGAATAAGGAGATTAGCATACAGCCAAAAAAATAACATAATTAAATAACATAATAATAATTTCTTTTCAAACAATTCCTTTTGTACCCTAAAAAAATCTGGAAGATTTCTTTGAAAAATGAGGGTCTTAAAAAACTAAACATGGCTAAAATATATGTGGGTTGGCATCGTTCATTTATAATCGGATGACGCGACAAGCTGTGAGAGGAAATCTTTCGCTTTTTTGATGACGAAGGCAGAGGATTCCGCCATTAAGACGATGACGCGATTCAAAGATGTTTGCTTGTAAAATGCGATTACTTCTCTTCGTTTGTAAATAATCTCATCTATTTCCTTCTATGTATGTAATTACTTTGTATTTTGTAGCAACTATTCATGTTTCATTAAATACTCAAGTTATTTGTAAATTGGACTAGTTTATTAGCCCCTAGACAGCCACATCGGAAGTAAGTTTACGAACATCATATTCCTAGACAATAAGTACCGATTCTACATATATGGACAGGTTTGTGTTGAGCTGCCATCTACTATAAATAAAGAAGGTTCAGAGTAACCTATAGTAACCTATAAATCCTTTTTCATTCAATTTTTCTGTGCGTACAGAAGGAAATTTTTAGGTGTGTCCAGACCGGACACACTGTGCCGCAAAGGGTTAATGCTGCGTTTTAAGAACTTTTTCCGAACCTTTGGAATATAGAACGGTACTACTGCGTATTATTGCGACATGTTAGGGAAAAACATGGTAACATATAGGAATTCTACCGCGGCAGTTGAGTTTAGATTTGTAAAGAATTTGATGAACATTATAAATTTCAGTAGAACAATACTGGGAATTTTAGGTTGATGTTTTTAACAGTATTTCTGTTTTAATCTTTTGTTTGCATCTTTTAACTATATTTTTGCTTGTCTGTGTTGGGTGTGCTGCGTAAACCATGGGGCCAATTATTATCAGCCAAGAAAGTTGCAGCATACTAGTATGTTACATTACATCGCATTATGCTGCTACTGTAAAATTTTAAATTATGTTACTGGTATTAGTGATTCACTGTCTGAAATTTTCGAAGATACTGAAGTTACTTGATCGAAAAGCAAATTTGTTATCACCGCCACCCGAATGGCAAAACGGCTGACCACTGGTGGTTTCATCCAAGTCCATATGATAGCGAAAGAAGTGGATACATAGGAGTTTTTGCGTTTGTTGCCATCGCTAATTCATTTAAAATAATCCGCTCAAAGCTACGCGAACAGCTTTTGCATTGTTTATCTTAATCTAAACAATGGAATCCTGAAGAAAAATTTCACATAAATTTTGAGTAGCCATAGAAAAGTGACTTGTAGCACAGAGGTGTTAAACCTCATTTATTGAATGAAATTTCTGTTTAATGTGTAGATTTGTATCATGGGAGTTCACCAAAAGTAGGAATTTGAGTTTTATAATTCTCAAATTCCTGCTTTTGGTGAAGTGGATATAATGGAATATCGCCAGTGCGAGCGTATAATAAAGTATGTCAGCAGTGAACATCACTGTAGTAACAGCGGAAGAAAAAAAAGTTGATTTCACCTCTAATGAAAACATGAGTTTTAAAATAGCCTTCCAGATGTTTGTCCTTTGCGCTGAGGAAAAAGGTCTTACAAGGTAACAGGTAAATTTCGTAGGTGCTCTATATTAAATTCAATTAGTTTTTAATTAATTGCTGAATTTCATTGAAATGCTTGTTGTTTATGTCACGATAGGAAATTCTTTCAATTAGTATTGCAGAATAGGAAAAAAGGAACGATGTTTGTTGTGAGTAAATCTCATTTATGAATTACAGTATTTTGTCGATCCGTGGAAGCCGGCCGCGGAAAGGGCTTACGAAATTTGGTACATAGGTGCATCTAGACAAGTCAAAGTCCACCTCAAAGCGATTTTTTCAAAATTGGAACCAAATTTTTTTTATTTTATCTTTTTTGGTGAAATCTCATCATTTCGAATAGTTTCATTCTCTTATTTTCCATTCAATGGAGTTGGAGTATTTAATTATGGCAAAGCACACTAGGGCTATCTGCCTAAGGGGAGGGATGCCTTCGTGGAGGACTTTCTAATGGAAACTGGCTCGTATACACGTTACACATGGGGAAAATACCACGAAAACGCCCATGCAGCCAGCCCGTTCGCGGGAATTCGAACCCCGGACCGAACTACCAGTGTTCAGCGACTTTTACTGCTCGGCCGCTGGTGGGCCTGATATGTGGTTTTGGCAACGCCTTTTTCATTCAATGCCTTGTATAGTGGACTGCTGACTGTTGAAAATCAGCACCGTTGCCACTGGGGAAAATGAGGGCGATAATTCTGTGCTCATCACATTGCTTCACGTATATATGCGTGCCTTATTGAGTGTCCTCTCAGTATCACACGCGCTGTTTAAATAATTACGTGCTATTATGCGTCTCATAACATCATCAAGTGTTTCATTTTTATGTGTCCACATTATTTAATTGTCTGCATCGTGTTTACGTATGTGTGTTCGGTGTTTATTTAGTTACGTGTATTTTAGTGTATCTTAGTGTACGTTTTTGTGTTTTTAGTGCTTTATGTGTTTCTTCATGTTTTTCTTTATATGTTTCCATTTATGTTTTATGTTTATGTCTTATTTTGTTCTACCTCTGTAACCATAACCTTCAGTTGTCTCACGTTCTTACAATGTACTACATGTAGTCTAGCCCTTGTATGGCCATGTTAACTTTTAAGATCCTAATAAACTCCCGGGGCGGCCTCATGGAGCTCCAGGGAGTTGTTGCCTCTACACAGTGGAGGACGCGGGGTATATGCCTGTTTACCTATGTTAGACACCAGGCGCCCCCGTCCTCCGTCACCTGTCACCTGTGCAGTTTTTAAATTTAATGTTTCTCTTGGTTGGATACTGGACCTTTTTGGAGAGAAGGCAACGAGGTTAATTTACTTATTAGATACTTAATATTTGTATTAAGGGATATTGCTTATTTCATTGTAATTTTTTTTTTTTTTTGCATGTAAATATATTTTTATTGAATTTTTTTTTTTTTTTTTTTTTTTTTTTTTTTTTTTTTTATAAAGTTGTTCTACAGAGTAAAATTATGTGCAGTTTTTGAATTAAATGTTTGGTGTTCTCTTTAGACATTTTTCCGGTACATTTAAAAGCCAGACGAAGGCAGTCCTGTTGCGACTAGTTTTTATTATGTTGAAGAAGGCACGCGACTGCATGTGGCGTCATTGTGTGTCGAAAATATTTCGTTAATGTCAGTTGGCAATGTTTTTGTTTCGCATTAGTACAAACTGACACGAAATATTAATGTCGCATTAATTCTTTTATTGATATTGAGAAAATGCTATATTACATTAAATTTAAATCATAACGTCATGCGTATTAACCAGAAGCGTCAAAAGTTTTAGTTTCCTGGTTTGGAAATAAAAAAAAAATAATAATAAAAAAAATCTAAAAGGTTTTAGATTTTTAAATTACGTCCAAAGGGGCATTTTTCAACATTTTGTGTGTTACCTTTATTTATTAAATATCATATTCTTTGGCACTTAAACCATAAAACTCAGTTCAAGAGCAATATCCCAAAATAATTTTAAATTGAGCCTATCTTTAGAATTTCCGATACACAGTCTCACGCGCTGGAGATAAAAACGTTTTTCCTGTACTACGTTGCCATGGCTCTCTTTGAAATCCTTGAGTTTGTTAATGAAAAATTCGTTAAAGTTTTACAAAATAGGAAATCGGTCATAAAACAAATTCC